GATCCCCGCCCGCCTGGGCGGACTCTCACCCTCGATTTCCAGTGGGGGGGGGGCCGGGAAACATCGAAAAAAACACGTGTGGAACCGTTACCCCCCCCAACCCGAAATTCGGGTCTTCGCGTTGGGTTGGGGTGGTCTGGTAGGTAGTCAGGGAGGGGCAAGGATTTCCAAGAGGTCTCAAAGCGGGGCCCGCGAGGGCCCGGAGAGAGCCCAAAGAGAGCCCCCAGTGGGTATTCGCGAGCGTCGCGCCACCAGATTCCGTCCGACGGAGTTCGTCGCGATGCGTCATGCGCCCCTGTCGGAGCTCCTTTGGGCAGTTCCTGGGGCCCTCGCGGGCCTTCTGCGCCCTCTCTCGGCCCCCTCCCGGGCCTGTCTTGGCGCCCCCCCCGGGGCCTTCGAGGAGTTTCGGGAGGGCGCCGAGGGGGCCTCCCCCCAGAGAGCACGGGATTTTCCAAACGTTCTACGCCTAGAGGGCTGGGTGCTGTAGAGATTGAAAGGCAATGGCAAGGTATCGCGTGTCCATCCGTAGGGACTTGCAACGTTTCGCAGGGTCTCTCGTAGGGTATGGCGTGGCATCGTAACGTATTCTGAAGGTAATTGGCGAGGTTTCTTTTTGTTTGTTTGCAGCGGTCTCTTTATAGTCTGTACCTGTTTTTTGCCGGGTGACAGCAGGATTCTTTGCAGGGTCTCTGCACGGGGGGCCTTCGCAGGGGTCGTCGCACGGGCTGGCGCTTTGGGGCGGGGGGGCGCCGCGCGCGACCGTTCGTTCAAGCGGCGTCGCAGTTGCCCCGCGGGCGGCTGAGTCGAGCAACGCAATTTGTCACCACCCACCAAACCACCCCAACCCAACCCGAAGGTCCAAATTTATCCTCGATTTCCAGTGGGGGGGGGGTCGGGGAACATTGAAAAAACACATGGAATCCGTACCCCCCCCCAACCCGAAATTCGGTTCAAATTCGGGTCTTCGGGTTGGGTTGGGGTGGTCTGGTAGGTAGTCAATTTGCAAAAACTCAGTCTTTGCCCGCTCCCGGCTGTTGGCTCGACTTGCTCCCCGCGGGCCCCCGATCCTGGGGGGACCTTCTCTTGGGGGCACCTCCAGCAACTCCCGGGAAAGAGGGGGGTCGGTTGGCCAACGGATCTGGACGCCCGAAATGGGTACTGAAAGAATGGGTACAATGCCCAACAACAATTCCTGTTCCTTTTGAACAGGATTCGCCGTCCACGCCGCCGCGGCCTGTGCCCATTCGAGACAGAAGGCCGCCTGCCCAACAGCGGCCGCTGTTGGCTTGGGACAACATTTGTTGTTGGGCATAGTGCCCATTCTTTCCGTACCCATTTCGGGCGTCCAAAACGGATTTCCGTTGGCAGTGGCTTTGCGGGGGGGCTCCTCACGCCCAACCAAGCGCTTTGGATTAAAGTCCCAAAGGTCCCGCCTCCGCACCTTTCTTCACCTCTCGGCCCTTCGCCCTCCTCCCAGGCTGTCCTCTGTCAGAGGCTTTGGGGACGAGGATTTTGCTTGGCTGCAGGGGAAGCTGATGAAGCCCGGTGCTGTGCTGTCTGGGGGCAGCGGTGTGGGGCCCTCGTTTGTGGTTGGGCGTTCGCCGGTGCTCGCGTGACCGTCCCCGTCCTGTAGTTACCGACTACACGTGGGAGTGACCTTTCGCCGGAGTGACCTTTGGCGCGGGCCCGCTGGGGTCCCCCGACCACCGAGCGCGATGCGACAGCATTGGCTTGTGCGCTTGTGTTTGGCCCCCCGCGGCACCCAAAACGCCGCTCACCAAAGGTCACTCTTACCCAGGGTCACTCTTGCGCGTAGCCGATTTTAACCCAAGTTGCCGGCCTGCACGGTTTTGTGTCGCGCGGTTTGGCGGTCGAGTGGGCGCGGGATTGCAGGTGGGCCAAGCATGATGCCGAGGCCGAAGGGTTGCGGCCATTGGAGGGCGATTCGACTGTTTTTGCCGCCGCGGCAGCAGGCGGAATTGCCGCCCATGGCCCATTGCCATTCCCGTTTTCCTGTTGGTTGCACATCGTGGGATCATGCCGACAAAAGGTTGGAACGACGAAGATGAGGAAGGGCACGACATGATGAGGAAGGTGAGGAGCAAAAGGAGCACGTGGAGGAGTAAGTCAGGGAAACTCACTAGACGAACTTGAAGTTGTTAATTTCACTGCTCGCGCAATCATCCCACCCACCCACCCGCAACTTGGTTTGCAACATCTCTCAAGACTGTGACGGTGGGTGCCAAATGGCACTTGGCAACGACAGCGACGACGACAGCGACAACGACGACGACGACGACGCCGCTGACAACGACTACGACGACACCGACGACGTCTCCAACGAATTCGACGACGCCGACGACGACGAGGACGACGACACCGACGACGACGACGACGCCGACGCCGACAACGACGACGACGACGATGACAACGACGACGATGACGACGCCGACGACGACGACAACGACAACACCGACGACGCCGACGACGACGTCAACGACGCCGACGACGACGACGACGACGACGACGACGGTGGCGACGACGACGCCGACGTCGACGACGAAGACGACGACGACGCCGACGCCGACGACGACGACGAAGACGACGACGACGACGTCGCCAACAAGACGACGACGAGGGAGGAGGGAGGACGACGACGGCGACAACGACGACAACGACGACTACGACGAGGGAGGAGGGAGGACGGCGACGACGCGAACGACGAAGAAATAGGAAGGACGGCGACGCCGACGACGACAACGACGAGGGAGGAGAGAAGACGACGACGAAGTCATTGACGACGACGACGACGACGACGACGACGGCGACGAAATAGAAGGGACGACGACGAGACGAACGGACGACGACGACGAGGGAGGAGGAGGAAGGACGACCACGGCGACAACGACCACGGAAACGACCACGACGCCAAAGAGGACGCCGACCACGAACACGATGAAAGACAGAGGACGACGTAGGCGACGACGACGACGACGACGCGGGAGGAGGGAGGACGGCGACGACGACGAGGACGCAAGAGCGCGCGCGCACGCTTTTGTTGAAAATCCGTGTTGCGACACCTAGTGTTTTTGCAGGTTTATTGGACACACGATTTTGAAATCCTTCCGAAACCGATGGGTTTTGAAGGATTTCGGCTTACGCGCGCGACGACGCGCGCGTCTGCATTTCGTTTCATTTTTTGCAAAAGGGTTCTCGCGACGGCACACGCGCAAGGGCGTTCGACAGATTTCGACATGCGCGCGCGAAACCCGTTTGGTAGCATTTTGTGAAAATCGTGAAAAACCCATGGTCTTCTTAAGATTTCGCAAGAGCTCGCGCGTAAGCTTTTTTGGCAAAAATGGGTATCGATTGCAAAATCTTTCCGACGCCTTAGGTGTTTGAAGGATTTCGGCATGCGCGCGCAACGACGCGCGCGTGTGCACTTCGTCCCGTTTGTTGCGAGGGATTCGCGAACAAGTCTTATGTTAGAGCAAAACGTGTCCCCGCGTATTTCTCTAAAAGGGAACCTCAGGGGGGTCGATACCGGCCCCCCCAGGATAGTGTAAATTCATATTGAGGATGGACATGTGGTCATAATAATATATAGTTTACATACCCGGAAGGGGGACCGATAACGCCTGGGGGGGAGAGTTTTTTTTAGAAAGGAGAACCAACAGTTCCAGCAGCCGCCAGCACGACGACGCAACATCAGCAGCATTTCTCGCGGAAGTAAAGGGAGGAGGTCAGTTGTGGATAAGGATCAACAGGGTGGCGGACGAGGAGGAGGAGGCGGAGGAGGAGGAGGAGGAAGAGAAGGAGGATGGGGAGGAGGAAAAGGACGACGACGACGACGTCGGGGACGGGGGAGGTCGAACCAGGATGAGGGAAGGAGGAGGGGGACGAGGAAGAGGAGGAGTAGGAGGAGGAGGAGGAGGAGGAGGGAGAGGAGGAAAAGGACGACGACGACGACGACGACGACGACGTCGGGGACGGGGGAGGTCGAGGCAGGATGAGGGAAGGAGGAGGAGGGGGACGACGAAGAGGAGGAGTAGGAGTAGGAGGAGGAGGAGGAGGAGGAGGAGGAGGAGGTGCAGGAGAAAGAGGAGGAGGAGGAGGAGTGCGGGAGGACGAAAGGCAGGATGGAGGGGGATTCCCTTCTCTATTTTCCCCTCTTTCCGCTGCCGCTCCCACTCCTGCCCAAGCGGCTGGTTTTGCCACTCGTCCTCCCGCTGCGCCTGCGTCTCATCCTCCCCGGCTTCTGGGGATTTCTGCGGGCCGAACACGGGAATTTGTTGCCCGCGGCTCGCACGGCTTCGATGACCCATCCTCTTCCCATCGCCCCTCCACGCCTGGAGAGATCGTGGCCGGACCGCCCTGCCACGTGAAGAACTGACCGCGCCGTCGGCCCCCGGTCAAGCCCATACTGCTTGGCGAGGGGGGGGTGGGAAACAGGCATGATGCAGGCCCCTCCTCCCGCAAGTATGCTGTTCCGAAAGGGAAACGGACGTACCCTTCCTTCGTCGCCAATGTTGGATTCGCGTCGAAACCTTGAGTTAGAAAGCAGCTTGGAAGAGGTCTGCGGAGTACCCGTGCTGGCATCTGATTGCCCCCCCCACCCCCCTCCCACCACACGCGGATCTGTTCGACGCTGATTCGACTCAGTGTCGACTCGAGCGGACGTTCGCTCGACACAGCATCGACGCATGAGTGCATTGGGTGGCCCCGGGAATTCCCCCAGAGCGAGTATTGATCGGCAGTGGGGAGGCGCGAGGGGAGTGGCCTCTGAGAAGGCAGGATGGCTTCTCAGGAGGCAGGGAGCTTCGACGCGCTCGGAGGCTGTTTGTAAACGTCTGGGCGTTTCCAGAGAAGGTCGCTGCCTTATACGTTCTAAGAAGCCACCCGTGGTTGCTTCACAGGCTCTTCGAGCACACGGGAGGGCCCGTGGGGGACGAGTGCACCTGCGCCGACCGCGCCCCTCCCCACGCCGCGGGCTCACCCAGGCGCCTTGCGGCGTGGAGATGCTGTCCGTCATCGGGTGGGTGTACGCCAACCGCTCCCGGCAGTTCTTCGCTGGCAGCGTCATCCACAGAGCCGTGGCGCAGGCCCACGGTCGCCGTGGCTCGCCATGCGGCAGGCCGAGACGTTTGACGAGATGGTGTTTCAATTTGGGCGTTATTGTTCCTCGAGTTCAGCCGCTGGGGCTCGTTATCGGGCCCCGGGGCCAACCATGGTTGTTGCAACCCCCTGGGATGGGGGTCGGGGGCTCTGAGGCCGCGAACTGAAGAAGTCATGTCGCAGGACGCCTTGGGACCGATCGAGGAGTCCTGGAGGTGTTTCGCAGTTGTCGAGCTCCCGGGGCCCTCTCCGTGCCCCAGGCCCCAGGAGCGTTGAGAACCTGCGCTCTCACGAGGAAGGACTGGTCCAGGGCGAGATTCTGGGGTCCAGGACCCGGTTCCCGCATGACCCGCCTCTTGTCCTTCCTTCTTTTGTCCCTCCTCCTGTCCTTGCTCTTTCTTTCTGTCCCTCCTCTTCTGTTGTCCCTCCTCTGGTCCTTCTTTTGTCCCTCCTCTCCAGTGGACCTCCTTTTTGTCCCTCTTCTTCTCATGTCCCTCCTCTTGTCCGTCTTGTTTTCCTCCTCTCCATTGGACCTCCTTATTCTGTCCCTTCTCCTTCTTTTGTCCCTCCTCTTGTCCTTCTTTTGTCCCTCCTCTCCAGTGGACCTCCCTCTTCTGTCCCTCCTCTCCTTTTGTCCCTCGTCTTGTCTTCCTTTTGTCCCTCCTCTCCAGTGGACCTCCTTCTGTCCCTCCTCTTGTCCTTCTTCGGGCCTCCTGCCTGTCACTCCGCCCCTCAGGCTCCGCCGAGCCAGGGCGGCGGTGGCGATCGAGTCGACTGGGTTGAGCTTGTTTCGGGGGTGGACAGAACCCCCACCCTGACACGTCGAGTCGTGAATTGTCCGGTTTCGGTTCTCGAGAGGGCGCTGCGCCCTTTATTTTCCAGGTTTGTGCCCTCCAGGTTTGTGCCCGAGGTCGTTTTCACTAAGCCACGTCTTCCTAAAGGGGACTCTGTCCATCCCCGATTGCTGTTGTCCATCCCCGATTGTTGGCGCAGCCGCTGTGCGATAGACGTAACATATCGCGCCGCCCAGCCGAATCTTCTGGATCTTCGGGAGACCGTCGCCGTCCGCGTCGTCGCTCGAGGCTCGACGATTTGTGCTTGTTGTGGCGTTGTTGGCCTCTTCCTGGAATCGCCTGGACCTCCAGACCTCTGGAGGCCGCCGCCGTCTTCGTCGTCGCTTCAGGTTCAGTGGCTCTCGGAGTCCTCCAGCGGGCCTCGAGAGATCTGCGAAGGTTGTCGTCGTCGCCGTCTTGGGTTCGAGTGTCTGCCCTCATTCGGGGCACTGGATGTTTCTCTGGAGGTCGTCGGAGGAGCAGGAGGCGCAGGGAAGCGGCAGGATGAGCGGCAGCAGCGGCCGAAGGCGGAATGGCAGGGCGCGGGAGGAGGAGCGGCATCAGGACGAGGGGGAGGAGGAGGAGGAGGAGGAGGAGGAGGAGGAGGAGGAGGCGCAGGATAGTCTTGGCCTCTCAGATGGGGTCCGAGTAGATGGGGTCGAAGGACTTTGCCGCATCGCCGATGCATCGGCGATGCGGCTCGGTGTGGAGAACTTTGCCCATGCGAGTGGTCGGGAGAGTGACAGTAGAGGAGTAACGCACGAGACAAAGAGGCCAACCATGATGGACCAATAGAGACCTCCGGGAGGGTCTTGGATCTTGGATGCATTGGGGAGGCACTTTGGTGCTATCTTGGGCTCTCCTGCGGCCGCCTTGGGGGCCTTTCGCGCCCTCTTGGAGCAGTCCTGTAGGCCATCGGTGAGACATGGGGCGCTCACGTCGGGCCCGGGAGCTGAAGAAATCGTTTACTGGTTTGGGACGCTCTTTGAGCGTTCTTGGAGTACTTCTACGTAGGCCGTCTTCGAGACCTTTTGGGTCCCTTCTGGGGCTCTTTCCGACGATCTTGGGAGCACCTCGAGGCTGCAGAAACCCACTGGAAGCCAATGAGGCGAGAAGGATTGACGCATACTTGGAGCAGAGGCTCTGTGTTTGGCTAACGAGGGCGTCTCGGGCTATCTTTGGGTGGCTCCGTGTCCACCTCGAACAGTCGTGAGGCGGTTTGGGGGGCGTTGTGGGAAGAATGTTGGAGGGCCTGTTATGCCAGGTTGGACTCCATTGCCCGTGGGAGCCATCGTGTTGGCTCCGTGCATGTCTGTCTGTCTGTCTGTCTGTCTGTCTGTCTGTCTGTCTGTCTGTCTGTCTGTATGTATGTATGTATGTATGTATGTATGTATGTATGTATGTATGTATGCACGGCACGGAAGCTTTTCGCCGGGGTTGGCTTTCGCCGGGCTTCGTTTCGCCGGGGTTGGCTTTCGCCGGGGTTGGCTTTCGCGGGGGTTGGCTTTCGCCGGGGGTTGGCTTTCGCCCGGGTTGGCTTTCGCCGGGGTTGGCCTATCGCCGGGGTGGGCTTTCGGCGGGGTTGGCTTTCGCCGGGGCCGGGCGGGGAGTAGGCGCCGTCGCCGCTGGCGTGGCCGTCGCCGCCGCCGTCGTGACCCCCGGGAGCCTTTGAGGCGCGCCGCTTGCCCAGGCGAAAGGGGTGAAGAGACGTGGGGGGGGGGCTCAGGAAGGTGCCGGATGCTTTAGAATAGTTGCATGACGCATCGCCGACAGGTTTGCGATAAGCCCCAAGACAGGGAAGCCGCGCGTTCCTGGGCGGGGCGGGGCGCTTTGGCTCCCATCGGCGATGAATGGGTGATGGGGGAATCTATGTCTCCTGTCCCCTCTGAGCAATTTCTCTGTTTCTCTTCGCCCCCGGAAGCGGCCGGCGGTCGTGGTGGCGATCGCAACTGGTGGGGGCATTGGCGGTGGTAGTGGAAGCTGTGGCGGGAGGGGGCGCGCCGAGACCTCCGACGCCCGGCAAAAACAAACGGGCAGTGGCCCGGGTTCGGCCGCTGGGGGGCCAGGACGGCCCTATAGAACGCGCCAGGATAAGAACCTGTCTTTGGGAACGACTGCGGACTCGAGGGAGCCGCCGGCGTGAACAAATTCGGGGACCCGAACGGACGGGTCGGGGCGGGCGGGACATTCAAAAATGGGGGCGCGTTCGATTGAGCACGCGTGGGCTCACGCGTGAACCCTAACGGGCGGGTCCGGTCGGGCGGGCGGACCCGAACGGGCGGGACGGGTCGGGTCGGGTCGCGCGGACCCTAACGGGCGGGTCGGGTCGGGCGGGCGGATGCACTAAAGTGTGGGTCACGCCCGAGCGACACGTGTGAACCCTAACGGGCGGGTGGGTGGGGAAGGCGGACCCTAACGGGCGGGATGGGTCGGGTCGGGTCGGGCGGACCCGAACGGGCGGGTCGAGTCGGGTGAGCGGGACACGAAAGTGTTGGACGCGCCGGAACGAACACGCGCGAACTCTAATGGGCGGGTCGGGTCGGTCGGGCGGACCCTAGCGGGCGGGACGGGTCGGGTCGGGTCAAACGGTCCGTCATTGGCGGGTCGGGTCGGGCGGGCGGGACACTAAAGTGTTGTGGCGCGCTCGAGTGGGCACGCGTGGACCCTAACGGGCGGGTCGGGTCGGGCGGGCGGACCCTGACGGGCGGGACGGGCCAGGCGGACCCTAACACGCAAGTTTGGTCGGGCGGGCGGACCTTACCAGGCGGGACGGGTCGAGTCTGGTCAGACAGACATTAACGGGCGGGTCGGGTCGGGCGGGCGGGACACTGAAGTGTGGGGCGCGCTCGAATGAGCACGCGTGAGCCCTAACGGGCGTGCTGGGTCGGGGGGGCGGACCCTAACGGGCGGGACGGGTCGGGTCGGGTCAGACGGACCCTCACTGGCGGGTCGGGTCGTGCGGGCGGGACACTAAAGTGTGGGGGCACGCTCGAATGGGCACGCGTGGCGGGTCGGGTCGGGCGGGCGGGCCCTAACGGGAAGGACGGTAAAGTGTGGGGGCACGCTCGAATGGGCACGCGTGAACCCTAACGGGCGGGTCGGGTCGGGCGGGCGGACCCTAACGGGCGGGGCGGATCGGGTCGCGTCGAGCAAACAGTAACGGGCGGGTCGTGTCGGGCGGGCGGGACACTAAAGTGTGGGTGCATGCTCGAATGGGCACGCGTGAACTTTAATGGGCGGGTCGGGTCGGGTCGGGCGGACCCTAACGGGCGGGACGGGTCGGGTCGGGTCGGGCGGACCCTAACGGGCGGGTCGGGTCGGGCGGGCGGGACACTAAAGTGTGGGGGCGCGCTCGAATGGGCACGCGTGAACCCTAACGGGCGGGTCGGGTCGGGCGGGCGGACCCTGACGGGCGGGACCACTACGACGACAACGACCACGACGAGGACGACGGCAACGACGGCGACCAGGAGGACGACGACAGCGACAACGGCGAGTACGGCGACGACGACAACGGCTAAGACAACGACGACGACCACTACCACGACAATGACACAACGACGACGACGACGACGTCGACGACAACGACGACTACGACAACGAGGAAGAAGACGACTACTACGACGACGACTCCCCGTCCTCGCGTTCCCCTCCTGGTCGCCCCCCCCAGTTCCCCTCGCAGTCTTGCCTTTCCTGTCCTCCTCTGGCCCGCGGCCCTCATCCGGGATCCATGCCCGTCGCCCGCGCTCCCGATGGACGCGGGAACCTGGGCGAAAACGAGCCCAGGCGACAGCAAACCCGGGCGAAAGCCAACCCGGGCGAAAGCAAATCCGGGCGAAAGCAAACCCGGGCGAAAGCCAACCCCGGCGAAAGCCAACCTGGGCGAAAACCAACCTGGGCGAAAACCAACCCGGGCGAAAGCCAACCCGGGCGAAACGCACCGGACGAAAACCAACCCGGTCGAAAAGCATCTACGCCGTATGCATTTGTTCTTTGAACCCTTGTTCTCCTCCCACTCGGCCGCCATCTCCGCGGCTCAAGTGCATTTTTAGCGGCGCCACAAATCTATAGGGGATCCTCACCAGTGTGGCGGGGTTGGCGTCTCTAGCATCTCCAGTGTTTCGGCCGCTGGCCGAGCAGGCGCTGACGTGTACGATCCACAGTTCAGTCTTGGGTGGGCCGTATCAAGTCTGCAGTGTGTGTCTCTTCTTCGGTGTCGTGCTCGGTGTGGGTCGCACGCTGATTTATCAGGCCTGTAGCAATGGCGGCGGCACTCGGCGGTCAGTACCTGCTGGGTGGTCGCGAAGTCCACGTGAGATATTCCGACGAAACCTGCTGGTGGCATCGCCGCGTCGTGATGTGCCGTTGCCCGCTCGAAGTCTACCGTCGAGTGATGGGGGGCGAGCCCTACACGGACACCGACGCGATGTATTGGACTATGACACCATACTTCGACGTGCACCCCGAAGAGCTGACAGTCCCACCTCTGATGGGCATCGTGGGAACTACGCCAAACGGGACCCTCCTGCCAGGCTCGGCGATCGACCGCACCTCACACTTGAATCTGGTGCACGCATCCCCTCCGCTCCCGACGCCCGCAGCCTTCGCGGAGGCGCTGCGAGCCTGCCTACGCGAGGTAGCCCAGGGCGGTGGTCCTCGTCGCCGTCTTCGGGGTCGACGGTCGGGTCGCGCAGCCCTTGGCGCTGAAGGTGCGGCCGATCACGGCATCGTGCCCGCGGAACTTCCGCTGGCGCTGCCGGAACGCAGCCCCCAGGACCAGGCGGTGTTCGACGTGGTCAAGGGGGTGTGTCTGGCGTCTGGGCTGGTCCATCTGCCGCCTGCCACGGGCGGGTGGCGGCGCGTGTCAGGCAGCGGGCTCAGCGACGCAGACTTCGACACCGACGCTAAGGATAAGTACCTGTACGCTCCTGGGGTCGCGCTCGTCAGCCGCAATGGAGAGCTGGCCGTGCTCGTTGACTGCGCGGAGCGGGCCGCCGTGGCATCGCCGGAGCTGGACGCCAGGATCTTCGAGATCTCGCGTGACAAGTTGGGTAAGCGACACAAGGATGTGAAGGAGGCCATCGATTGCTGCACCGTGAGCGCGTGGGACAGTTGTCCGTTGACGGGACCTCGCACGGTGATGTGGTACCTCACTTTCGTCGTCCATGCAACGGTCAGCCCAGAGCCAGGCACGCGTGGTGGAAACACACGTGCCGGCTCACGAGTGGTGGCCCAGGCGTGTTTTACCACGAGATTGCCATGAAGGCTACAGAGTGTATGCTCACGCATGATCAGTCGAATGCGCCCAAGCTCGTGTTCGCAGAGCTTTTCCTTCGGAAGGCGCAGCTGGCTGAGTTCAGGTACCCTTCGCTTGCTCTTGCGACCCGGTGACTGCGGGGACGATCTTGCCAACGATGAGTTCCTCTACTTCGGCTTGGGGGAGACCAGAGGGCAGATCATGAGAGCACGTTGCCGATGAACTCCACAGGGAGAGCACGGTGGCCAAGGAGAGGCGCAAGCTCCCCGAGGAGCGGCAATTGGCCCGCGCGTCTCCAGCCCTGGTGCCCAGCCAGTCGGCCGCTGCTGCCATCGTCGCAGGTGCCAACCCGCTGCGCTCACTAACGGGCGCCCCCGCTAACCCGAAGTCCATGGCGACGGCTAAGGGCGAGGGCGGCAAGGCCACGGCGGGCCCCACCGCCGCGCCCGAAGCATGACCGCCTCGTGGGCCGGCTTGCCCGCCTGGCCCAAGGCGTCGGGGCGCCGGCCCGTTGCGAGAGAGCTCCTCCCGATGACGGTGGCGTTTTGCGATGTCTCGCAGGCTAATTCGGTTGAGTCTGGTTTTTGGTCGCGTTCGGTCAGGAGGCGGCTGAAGGTGGGATCTCACTGGCAGGCTGCTGTTCATTCTGCGGCGGAGAGTATCAGCGACCTGTATGGCGTCAGGCTCGGCCAGGGGTTCTCGCGAGCTCAGCGCGAGGCGCATCGGCATCTCGCGAACGTCTTTCGAGCAATGCCACCTCCACCATGCGCGGCCATGGGGGCCTTCACAGAGCTCTGTGGCACTCAAGCGGGATATGATAACACGGACCCCCGCGCATGCCTTCATGCATGGCCTGATCTCTTTGCTTTCTCGAGGCGGAGTTGCCGAGGGCGCCGAGGTGCTGACGGGGGGTTCCATGGTCCACTGGAGAAATTGCGTCAAGACGCTCATGCGGAGCGACCAGGAGACGTCTGACTCCTATCTGACACTCTGATCAGGGACAGGTCGATGTATGCGAGGCTCATCGCCGATGCGCATTCCTTGGGATTGTGTCTCTTCGGCCCCACAAGGGCTTAACTGTCGGGATATTGTTCGTCGGAAAGAACGGCAAGCAGCGGATTGTTCTAGATGCCAGGCTGGTGAACGCACCGATTCCAGCCGCGCTTTGTGCGCGGGCGAGCGTGGGGCTGCAGCCGGAGGGCGAGCTGGTGTTCTCACAGATGGATGTGGAATGTGCCTTCTACCGCATCCGCGCGCCTCCTGGGTATCTGACCACCTTGTGCTGCCTCGGGTTTCTGGCCAGCTGATCCGCCAACTGGCGCCTGGATGTGGTATCTCGGATGCCGAATTGGATCGACCCACATCTCGAGGTGATGGTTATGGGGTGGTCGTGGGCGCTACACTTCAGCCGGCATACGGTGACGGTCTCAGTTCAGAAGGTGGGCATCCCCACATCAGATCTTCAGGGGCAAGAGGCCAGCCCCCGATGTGGCAGCGCCGAGGGTTGCGGCTGCCGTCTACGTCGACATTGCGGCGGTCACTGGCGCGGACGAGAAGCGTGCTACAATCGCGGCGGACGCGGTGTTCAGGCAGCCGGAGGCTCTGCGCGCGATCGAGCGTGGGCCCGACGTCGCGCACTTCGCGGGCTTGGACCTGCACCGCGCCTCGGGTCGCATTTCCGTCGTCCACGCGAGGCGCTGGAATGCCGGGCTCGCCGCGTCGCGCGTCTTGGCGGCAGGGCGCGCGAGCGGGCCTGAGATGCGTTCCTTGATGGGACACTACACCTTATATCATCCGACGGTGTTGGCCCTCGTTGCCGCGCGCGTGCTACCATGTCGTAGGCAAGGCGCGCCTGGAAAGGGCGCCGCTCTAGTCGTCTGTTCGGCGAGAGCTCGAGTGGATGATCGCACTGGCCAACGCTGACGCTCTGACGCCGAGCGCCCCTGGCCCGGCAGCGTCGCCGCCGCCGACTCCGAGGGCGCCAACCTCACCGACAACGGTGACTTTGGCGTCGTGCGGAAGTTTATCGGGGCGGAGCAGGCGCGGCATTGGGGCCGGCGGCAGGGGCGCCGTCGGCTCGCCGTGGCCGACGCAGCGCAGGCTCGCGCAGCAGCATTCGCCGCCGTTGCCGGCCCCGCCGCGACGGCGCCTGTCAAGACCGACGGCCTCGCGGACACTGACTTGGCGCCGCCTTCAGCCATGTCGAGCGGCTCGTCATCAGTGACTGCGGGCGAGGGGCCGTTGGCGGCGCGCAGAGGCCATCGCGTCTACAGGGGGGCCGCCATCGTCATTGCAGCCCGTCGCACGCGTCGTTCAGTTGAAAGCTTTCATCATCGACATGTCAACATTGGTGACAATATTGGATTCACCTTGGCACATTGGAATGTGGTAGCATCGATCGCCACCGTCGTCAGCTGTGCGCGCTCAGTCTTGCAGGCGATGCGTAGTTCATCTTTCAATGGGCCCCCGGCGAGTTCAATCCCGCCGACGGGCCATCCTGGCCCAGGGGGCCCGTGGTGCGCGGCGGCGGGGCTGGTCCTCGCGATGCCCGCAGGAGCTCGGGCTCGGCCGACGAGCGGCGCGGCGCCCTTGCAGCTGTCGTCGAGGCCGCGGCCCGCGACGAGCTCGGGCGCGGACGCGCAGCTGGCGCAGGCGGCGGCAGCTGGTGGGCGGCCCCTCCGCCGCTCGAGCCCACGGGCGCCGACGGCGCCACTGGCGACTGGCATTCTGCGGCGAGCACCGTCGACTCCAGCAGCTCCCCCGACAGCGAGGGGGCCGCCGCTGAGGTCGAGGGCGGGCGCGCTGCCAATCAAGCGGCCTCTGGGGGCGTCGGACCTGGCGCCGCCCAGCGCGCGGCAGCGTCGCGCCAGAGCTGGGCGGCGAGTCGAGGCTCATCGGTCTCACGCGGCCCTGCGCAGGGACCTGGGCTCGCACTTCCTGGAGGCCAACCTGGCGTCGCGCAAGTCGGCGACGCTGTGCGATCGGTACTTCCCCGATTTCCGCCAGTCGGCGACGCTGGCTGGGATACCTCTGTCCACGCCGACCGAGATCGACGTCGCGCTGCTGCAGCACCTCGAGGGCCTGTGCTCCAGCGGGTTCAACCGCGATGCGGCCGGGCAGATGATCGCCAGCATGGAGATCCGCATCGCCGAGCTGAGGACCCCAGGCGGCACCCTGCTCCCAAGGGCGAAGAAGCCCTGCGGGGGTTTCGCCGTCTGGCGCCTGGCATGAGCCGCGGCCCATTTCCTTGGCTCGCGCTTTGTGCGATGGTCGGCTCGGCGATGGCGATCGGCTGGCAGGAGATGGCTTTCTGTCTCGTGCTGATGTTCAGGACCTACCTCCGCCCCGCTGAATGTCTGACTCTCACAGGGGGCCAGCTTGTCCCTCCGCATCCTGGCACGGGGACCACGTTCTGGGCTCTGCTGCTAGCGCCGTCGGAGCTCCCGGCGGCGTCGAAGACGCACGTTTTCGACGAGGGCCTGCTACTCGACAACGTGGAGTTCGGCCCCCTCCAGGGCTTCTTTCGCCAGGTGAAGGCATCGCCGTCGACTCGGTGCCCGTGGTCAGTCGACTCAGTGACCTTCTCCCGGAATTTCGCCCAGTTAGTGGAGCTGGCCGACCTGTCGAACAGTCGGCCCCGCCCGCGCATGCTCAGGCACGGGCGATCCTCGGACGATGCCCTTCGAAATCGCAGGACTTTGGATGAGGTGAAGAGGATGGGCAGATGGCGCGCCGACTCATCCGTGCGTTGGTGCGAGAAGCACGCCCGAGTTCTGAAGCAGGCCGACAACATGGCGGTTGCCGCCCGCGAGTGCGGGCTGCATGTCGCCAACCACTTGCTGGAGATATTGACCGGCGAGCGCGGATTTCGGTTTTGGTCGGGTTCCAGCGTTTCTGAATTTTCGGCTTCACGGCGCTCCAACACGGTCCTCGACGCCCCAAATATCGCCCCAGCACGGTTCAGAGGCGCCCAAGAGGCCGCCGAGACGGCCGTTAAAGGCGCCGTACAGGTGAATTCCACGCCTCTGGGGACGCCCCCAGACGACCCAAGACAGCTTCCAAGACAGGGCACCAGGATTTTACCATCAGGCCCCAAAGCGCTCCAAGAGGGCCGTAAATCGCAGATATCCCGCACCAAGACGCTCACGATGGCTTCCGGACGGCCCAAGGGGCCTCCAACACGCCCCAAGAGGCTCCAAGAGGATGACCATAGAGGCCTGGCCCCGGGGAGAATACGAACCGACATGTCGAGCTCGCTGCTCCTGGAGGTCCACGGGGCCCCCCAAGCGCCCCAAGAGGTTCCAATATGGCCCTCAAAATATCGGAGGTTGATCGACCTCCTACCCTGACACGTCGATGAAGGAATTTGCCGTTTTCGGTTCGCGACAGGGCGTCGCGGCCGACATTTTTGCGGGTCCATGTCCGTCGGTTTCGGCCCTACGCCGTTTTCATTAAAAGGGGAGGTTTGCTAAAGGGAGATTTGTCCACCGCCAGAAAAGAACCCTGGGAGGTTCAAATCGTTTAATTTCCCGTCGGGAATTGCACATGTTCCGTATCCACACGTGGCGGCCTGCCCCAGCGTGCGCCACGACCCCAGACACCGCCCAGACCGCCCCCAAACAGCCCAAGAAGCCCCCAGGAGAGCCCGACAACCGCCCCAGACGGCTCCAAGAAGGCCGAGGGAGGCCCCTGCAGGCCCCCAGGGGGGCCCAAAGGAGGGCCCGGTATACCCCAGACGTCGCCACAACCGCACCAAAACAGCCCATGAATCCCCCAAGAGAGCCCGAAGACGGCCCAAGAGGGCCCCAAGAAGGCCCAAGACACCCCAGGAAGGCTCCTGCAGGCTTCCGGGGGGGCCCAAAGGAGCCCACGGACGTCCACAGTTTTGGATACGGTACAGGAAAGCCCAAGGGCAGCCTCGAGTGGCTCCTCACATCGCTCAAAGCGCCACCAAAGCGGCCTGAGAGCCTTCCAAAACGGCTGCGGGTCTTGCGCCCCAGTGTGGCCCAAACATTCTGCCAGGTGCCCCAGAGGCGCCCGTCTGAGGACAGAAGACGCCCCTCAGGTGAATGACAGCCTGGGAAGGCCTCTAGGGGGGGCCCAAAGGAGACCCCCAGACACCCCGAAAAGATCCCGCAGACGCCCCCAGCTCCCGAAGACTGTACGAAACAGTCCCAGGGCGGCCTCAGAGGGCTTCTCACATCGGTCAAAGATGCCCCACGTGGCCTCCCCAAGAGAGGCCCGACGAAGCCACAAGACGCGCCCCAACTGGCCTGAGAACCCTCCAAAAAGGCTTCGGGTCTTGCGCCCCAGTGTCCGATCCGATTTGGCCCGATCCGATTCGAATCCGATATTCAGGCGATCGGGTGCGGCCCGATGCTCACATGGCAACGCTGTGTATCCCAGCGCGGCCCATCCGATTCGATCTCGACTCCGTGCCGACGCGGCCCGATCCAAGTCGCATTCCGATCCGATCCGACTTGCCGATGCGATGTTGCCTGATCCTGCACTCCGAAAACAACCCGACGATGTTCGCAGCAGGCTCTCCGGAAACATCTTCCGGCAACGCGTGTTGCCTCCGTAAACGAAGCCCGAAGAGATTCGCGAAGATGTACCCCGAAGGCTCTTTGGGGACACCTTCAACCCTATTCCTCCTCCTCCTTCTGCTTCACCTCCTGCTCCTCCGCCCCCTCGCCCCTCTCCTCCTCCTCGTCCTCCTCCGCCTCATCCGCCTCCGCCTCCTCCTCCTCCTCCTCCTCCTCCTCCTCCTCCTCCTCCTCCTCCTCCTCCTCCTCCTCCTCCTCCTCCCCCCCCATCTCCTCCTCCTCCTGCTCCTGCCCCCCAAGAGGCCCCAGGCAAATTCCAGATAGGCTTCCCGCGCGCTCCAGAGGAGATCCAAAGAACCCCAGGAGGGATCATGGAGGCCCGCAGACGACCCCAAGAGGCCCCCAAGAGGCCCCAAGAGGGCCGACGAGACACCCGGTTCCCCGCTAGCTCTCGGAACAACTTCCAGGAATCTATGCACGGGCCTCCCGCGGGAGATCCGCCATGACGACGCTTCCGAATGTTACAGCGGTTGCCGTCTTCGTCACCGCGGTCGTCCAACATCGAGTTTGCAATCGGGAACGTTTGCGGTAAAGCCTAAGCGAGCGCGAAGTTGCGTGGTTGAGACGACGGAAGCAGTGTATGATGACTTTGCGGTCACGACAGAGCCCTTCATAGATACAGCGTGCTGGAATTCACCGCGGTGGCGGGCAGCCCCGAATCAGCTCTGACTAGAACCTAAGCGCGCGCGAAGCGCGCGCTTAGGTTCTAGTTTATATGCATATATATATATATATATATATGCATACACACGTTTCCTCTACGCTGTCTTCAGGTAAATTCTAGGTCGGCGATCGCCGATCTGCGCGTCCTTCGATCCCCTCCATCCTCTCGGTGTTCCCATTTTGTTTGCGAGGGTCGTCTCGTTTGCTCGAGGAAAGAGACACTGACCATAACAATGCTGCCGCTGGATCTGATCGACGCCGGTCTTGGTCATGGTCCATGGCAGGTGGCCGACTCGCGCGGGTGATCCGCGAATTGACGTTGGCCAACATGGATGGTTACCGAGATCGGCACGACGTTTCTACGTTCAATCTTGGTCATTGTTCCCGGGTTTTCTTCAACTTGCTCAGCGACGCTTGAGGCGTGTACAGTGTAAAAACCGACGTCGTCATCTCACCTATCATCTCCCCAACAGCGCCGATGATGGCAACTCAGAAGGACTTTCACAGCGATGTCGACACGGTCGTCTAGTACGTCTCGACGGATCCTTACGTCCCCGTTCCGCCTCTGCACGATCTTCGATGTGTTACTGTTTCCAATCGTGTATCGAACGCATGCTTGATATCGCACTCGATGTGTTCGCTTTATCGCAAGTTTGATGCCATCGCCAGTCTGAAGTCGAGCGCTTTCTACGTTTATGGTAGTGGCCTCCGGCCAGTGCCGCCGATCCGGGGAGCCCCCCCCGATGTTGATGGGAATGGATGACCGTGCATGCTGAAGATACAGTCCTCGTTTGAGACATCCTCGTACGACGAACATGTGGAAATCGGTTGCGAAACCTTTGGATCTTCGAAAATGACGCTCTCGCGTGAGTCACCATCAAAACCATGGAATGCTAAACTAGCTGTTGCACGCCATCTTTGGGGTTCGCTCTTGGAGGACCCCCAAGACGTCTGAATGAGTGAACTTATTGAAGATCACATTGGACAGGCAGTCGTTTGCCTTTGCGGGGGGCTTCTTGGAGGCATCTGGAGGCTTCTTGGGGTGCGGCTTGGAGGCAGTTCTTGAGTTTCTTGGGGGTCTTTCGGGACCCTATTGGGTGCCTCTTGGGGGCCAGTTGGAGCCTCTTGAGGCCTCTTGTGGGCCTCTGGAGGCTTCCTGGGGGCCTCTTGGGCCGTCGTGACCTCATCTGTGGCTGTCTTGGAGCCTTCTTGGGCGCCTCTTGGGCCCTCTTGGGGCTGTCTTGGGCAGTCTTGGGGCTGTCTTGGGCCGTGTTGGGCCTTTCTTTAGCAGTTTTGGGGCCCTGTTGGGCCGTCTTGGAAACGGTGAAGGTTCAAGAGGCGAATGCGCTCAAAATATCAGTTTTCCGAATCAAGGGAACGGGACAATGTTTGCCTTTTTGGGCCGTCTTGGGAGGCCTCTTGAGGGCTTCTTGGGGCGTCTTGGAGGCTGCTGGAGCCGTTTTGGGTGCATCTTGAGCGTCCGATCACATTAAGGATCCACCAATTTGAGGACTCAGGCTCAGGAGATTGAGCAAGGGACCTCGGGAAGCGACTTGGAACTCGTTTTGGGGCCTCTTTGGCCTCGTTTTGGGCCTCTTGGGGGCGTTCTGGATTCTCTTGCGGACTTTTTGGGGGCCTATTTGGGCCTCCTGGGGGCGTCTTGGAGCCTCTGGAGACTTTGATTTTCGGTTCGGGCTCTTCCTCTTGGGCTTCTCCGGGGGCCTGGGTGGAGCCCTCTTGGGCTGGCTTGGGCGCTCCTTGGGCCGTCTTGACGTTCCCTTGCGCCGTTTTGGGGTCGTCTTGGGAGCCTTTTGAGCCGTCTTGACGCGGTCCCAGGAGTTTGTGGGACCGTTGGAAGCGAAGCCCCCCCGCCCCAGAGCATTGCATGGCGCTGGGAATGGCGTCCCCCCCCCCCTGCAGAGCGAACCCTCCCCCCGGCTCCCGAGCACTGAATGGCGTCGGGAATGGCATCCCCCCCCGACCCCCCTTGCAAAGCATCTCAGCGCGCACCCCCCCCGGGCTCCCGAGCGCTGAATGGCATCGGGAATGGCGTCCGCCACCCCTTGCAGAGCGAAGCTTGCCCCCCCCCCTGCATAGCGAAGCCTCCACCCCCCCCTGGCTCCCGAGCACCGAATGGCGTCGGGAATTGCGTCCCCCCCCCGGCAGAGCGAACCCCCCCCCCCCGCCTCCCGAACACTGCATGGCGTCGGGAATGGCGTCCCCCCCCCCCCTTGCAGAGCGAAGCTTCCCACCCCCTCTGCAGAGCGAACCTTCCCCCCCCCCCCGGCTCCCGAGCACTGAATGGCGTCGCGAATGGCGTCCCCCCCCCCCCCTGCAGAGCGAACCCCCCGCCGGCTCCCGAGCACTGAACGGCGCCCCCCCCCCCCCCTGCAGAGCGAACCCCCCGCCGGCCCCCGAGAACGGCGTCGGGAATGGCGTTCCTGCCCCCCCTTGCAGAGCGAAGCTTGCCCCCGCCCCCTCGAAGAGCGAACCTTCCCCCCCCGGGCTCCCGAGCACTGAATGGCGTCGGGAATGGCGTTCCTGCCCCCCCTTGCAGAGCGAAGCTTGAAGAGCGAACCTTTCCCGATGGCGTCCCCCTTGAAGAGCGAACCTTCCCCCCCCGGGCTCCCGAGCACCGAATGGCGTCGGGAATGGCGTACCTCAGAGCGTGAATTACCTACCCCGCTTTCGCTTCCAGGCATAACCAAGTCATACCACGCGCCTCCTCGTCAAGCGGCCTGACCAGTACAGGCCGTAGTTTGGCATTGTTTGGTATCTCTTGGAAGCGAGGGTGGTCAAAAGCGAGGTAGTTTTGGTTTCCCCCTAGTACCCCCGCCCTTGCAGAGCGAAGCTTGCCCGCCCTTGCAGAGCGAGCCCTGCCCCCCCCGGCTCCCGAGCACTGATTGGCGTCGGGCATGGCGTCCCCTCCCGCCCCCCCCCCTCCCCCCCCCCCCCCCCCGCAGCTCCCGAGCACGGAACGGCGTCGGGAATGGCATCCCTCCCCCCCTTGCAGATCTTATGGCTCCTCCCCTCCTCGGCAGTTTCCTGCGCCCGGCCGCGTCCCCCTCATCCTCCTCCTTCTCCTCCTCCTCCTCCTCCTCCTCCTCCTCCTCCTCCTGAATAATGTTTGCCTTGCAATCAGGCCGAGGGCAAGTTGCACATGGCCCAATCCAAAGTCAAGCTCGCTGGATCATTGGGTCGCACAGCTGTCACGGTCCCAGCTCCCTTTGGGACAGTCAGACAATAGCGAGGAAGAGCAGGAGGATGCGGGTGGGAGTTCGTTGATGGTTCCAGGTTCGCCTTGTGCAATGGCTTGATTTCTGCAAAAAGTTGCGAGCAGGAATCCTGAAGAGGATTAGGAGAGAAAGGGAGGAGGAGAAGGAGGTAGAAAAGGAGCGAGAAGGGGAGAGGGAGGATGGAGAGGCATCGTCTTTGCGCAACTGGTCCACACACATACTCTGAGCATGCATCTACTTATTGTGCATCTCGACCCGCGTCCAATGCTCGAAAGGCACTTATTCGCGGAGGACAGGCGGCATGTTGTTGTTGGTGTTGTTCCCAACCCTCCTTGGTTGGGTACTCGTTTTGAATCGAGCACTGCGGTCGCGTCTTCTTCTCCTCCTCCTCCTCCTCCTCCTCCTCCTCCTCCTCCTCCCGCCTCCCGCCTTGTGGTGCGTACCTCCTGTCTGTGCATCCTGCCTGCGGTACCACTTGTGTGTCATATTGCCTGGGGCGGTGCGGTTTGCGAAATTGTCGCCACGTTTGAGGGCTGCTGGGGGAGACAGCATGGTGGGTACCCGCCGCAGATTCAGATTAGACCTCGCCTTTTCTTGGGGGCTGCGATTTGCAAAAGCGTCGCCACTTTCGAGGGCTGCTTGGGGGGGGGGCAGCATAGTGGGTGGTGGCCGCCGCAGACCCAGATTCAACCTCGCCATCCCTGGGGGGGGGGCTGCGATTTGCCAAGCTGTCGCCACTTTCGAGGGCTGCTGGGGGGTCCAGCATAGTGGGTAGCCGCCGCGGACCCATATTAGACCTCGCTATCTCTTGGGGGCTGCGATTTGCGAAACGGTCGCCACTTTCGACGGCTGCTTGGGGGAACCGCCACTTTCGAGAGCCAGATCATATTTGGTGGTAACCGCAGACCCAGATTTGACTTCGCCATCCCTGGAGGGGCTGCGATTTGCGAAATGGTCGCCACTTTTGCTGCTTGGGGGGCCAGCATAGTGGGTTGCAGCCGCCGCAGACCCATTTCCGACCTCGCTATCCTTGGGGGGGCGGCCACTTGCCAAACTGTCGCCACTTTCGAGGGCTGCTGGGCGGGGGGGGGGCAGCATAGTGGGTGATGGCCGCCGCAAACCCAGATTCAACCTCGCCATCCCTGGGGGGGGGGGGGCTGCGATTTGCGACAATCTCGCCACTTTCGAGGGCTGCTGGGGGGCCCAGCGGAGTGGGTACCCGCCGCAGACCCAGATTCAACCTCGCCATCTTTGGGGGGCTGCGATCTGCGAAACCGTCGCCACTTCCGAGGGCTGCTTGGGGGATCAGCATAGTGGGTACCCGCCGCATATTCAGATTGGACCTCGCCATCCCTTGGGGGGCTGCGATTTGCGAAACTGGCGCTGCTTTCGAGGGCTGCTGGGGGGCCAGCATGGCGGTCTGCGAAACTGTCACCACTATCGAGGGTTGCTGGTGGGTCCAGCGGAGTGAGGCACCGCGCAGATCTGAGCGAGATCTCGCCGTCCCTGGGGGGGGCTGCGATCTTCGAAACCGTCACCGCTTTCAAGGGCTGGTGGCGGGTCCAGCGGAATGAGGCACCGCGCAGATCTGAGCGGGAACTCGCCGTCCTTGGGGGGCTGCGATTTGCGAAACTGGCGCTGCTTTCGTAGGCTGGTGGCGGGTCCAGCGGAGTGAGGCACCGCGCAGATCTGAGCGAGACCTGGCCGTCCCTGGGGGGCTTCGATCTGCGAAACCGTCGCCACTTTCAAAGGCTGGTGGCGGGTCCAGCGGAATGAGGCACCGCGCAGATCTGAGCGGGACCTCGCCGTCCTTGGGGGGCCGCGATTTGCGAAACCGTCGCTACGTTCGTAGGCTGGTGGCGGGTCCAGCGGAGTGAGGCACCGCGCAGACCTGAGCGGGACCTCGCCGTCCCTGGGGGGCTGCGAGCCTCACGGATGCCGTTCGCAGAAGTCTATGCGCCCATGTCACGTCATCGCCTCCGTATAACGTTTTCCAAGCTACTCTTGCCCCGCATTGCGCAGGGGTTGGGTACGTCGCTAGGGTAATTTTGAATAGAGCAGTGCGGTCTCCGTCCTTCTCCTCCTTCCTGCTGCTCCCCGCCTCCCTTCCCTCTTTCATCCTGTTTTCGTCTGCCTCTTGTGTGCTCTCTGCTCCTCTTCTCTCTTGCCTTCTGATTCGTGCCTCGCCGTCTTCGCCTGGTGGCTTGCCTGTGGGGCCTGCGAAGTGTGAATCTGGAAGCTGCGATCTGCGAAACTGTCGCCTCTTTCGAAGGTTGCCAGTGGGACCAGCATAGTGGGTAGCCGCCGCGGATTCAGGAACGACCTCGCAATCCCTGGGGAGGGCTGCGATCCGCGAAAGTGTCGCCACTTTTGATGGCTGCGGGGGGACCAGCATTGTGGGTAGCCGCCGCGGACCCAAATTAGACCTCGCCATCTCTGGGGAGGGCTGCGATCTGCGAAATTGCCGCCACTTTCCAGGGCTGCGGGGGGGTCCAGCGGAGTGGGGACCCGCCGCATATTCAAATTTGACCTCGCCATCCCTGGGGGGCTGCGATCTGCGAAACAGTCGCCACTTTCGAGGGCTGCTTGGGGGGCCAGCATAGTGGGTAGCCGCCGCAGACTCAAAATAGACCTCGCCATCCCTTGGGGGGCTTGGATCTGCGAAAGCGTCACCACTTTCGAGGGCTGCTGGGGGGTCCAGCGGAGTGGGTACCCGCCGCAAATGCAGATCAGACCTCGCCATCCCTGGGGGGCTGCGATCTGCGAGATGGTCGCCACTTTCGAAGGCTGCCGGTGTGACCAGCATAGTGGGTAGCCGCCGCGGATTCAGATTAGACCTCGCCATCTCTGGGGAGGGCTGCGATCTGCGAAAGCGTCACCATTTTCGAGGGTTGCTGGGTGGACCAGCATTGTGGGTACCCGCCGCAGACTCAGGTTAGACCTCGCCATCCCTGGGGGGCTGCGATCCACGAAAGGGTCGCCACTTTCGAAGGCTGCTGGGGGGACCAGCATAGTGTACCCGCCGCAGATTCAAATCCTTCACGCTTCGCGTATCCCCACCAGTTGCTTTTGTCAGCACTCACACCGTTATACCCCCGAACTGCGTGTGTCGGATACGGTGTGCGCCCGCTGGCTTCAGCCGCAGGTGGTCCTTCGTCAGTGCACATCCGAGTTTCTTCTTCTGTAGGCGTCTACGTGGTCCACCCACCTCGTGGCGCTTGTGTGTTCGGTGCGATAGGCCGTGGCTTCTCCGTTTTACATGGTTCAGCCCAGCGTTTGCTGGTCGCTCGTTCATTGCGCCCGGTTTGCCTGAGCTTGGCGCCGCAATGGCGACTCTCAGCTGTCATCGCACTTGTAGCTCGCGCCTCACGGTTCGCTGCTGCGCCTATGTGCGTCGCCCGCGAATTTAGTTCATTTTGTATTGTGCATGTGCAACTGCGAGCTTGCTTGCAGGTGCGGTCGGCTGTCGACAGTGACGGCTGGGTTTGCAAATTTAAAAAGTACCGCGCCCCGGAAGTTGTGACCGCTCCCTGGGTTTTTCCTTGGAGCCGCCGAACAAAAAAGTATCCCCACCAGTGTGCGCTCGCTGGATAATCAGGTTCCGCCCGCAGCCTGGGTCGATCCTTGACGCCGCCTGCGCCTTCGCTTGCGGACGCGACCAAAACGTATCCACACCTCTCCATTCAGAAGCCCTGCCCATGAGAGCTGATGGGGAAAGGGACGAAGAGACACATCTAGGCAAACAGCGCGAGCAATCAGGTGAACCGAGAGATTTCTGGGAGAAAGGGGGGGGCCTTGGAAGGCCTCTTCGGACCATCCCTGGGGGGCGCGTGGTGGCGAGGGGAAGAGGAGGAGGAGGAGGAGGAGGAGGAGGAGGAGGACGAGGAAGAGGAGGAGGAGGAGGAGGAGGAGGAGGAAGAGGAGGAGGAGGAGGAGGAAGAGGAGGAGGAGGAAGAGGAGGAGGAGGAGGAGAAGGAGGAGAAGGAGGAAGAGGAGGAGGAGGAGGACGAGGATGAGGATGAGAACGAGGCGGACGAGGACTCATGGAATCGATTGCGGCTGCTGCTGCTATTGTTGTTGCTGCTGCTGCTGCTCTTTGGGAGTTTTTGGGGCCTTCTTGGAACCCTCTTGGGGACATCTTGGAGGCCATCGATTACGGGATGGGGGGTCCAACTCAGCTCCCCCCTCAGGAGCCCGCGAACCTTTTCTTGGGGCTCTCTTGGAGCGTTTTTTGGGCACTCTTGGAGCGGTCTTGAGAGCTATCGTGGAAGTCATCGTGGAAGTCATCTTGGGCTCTCTGAGGCCGCTCGGGGGCCTCTTGGGGCCGTCTTGGGGCCTTTTTGGGACCCTTTTGGGACCCTCTTGGGGCCCAAGAGGGGCTGTCTTGGGGTTTTCGTGGGAGCCCTCGAGCGCCTCTTGGGGCCGCCTTGGAGACCATTGATCCAGGGGGGAGAGGCCTAGATTTGCCCCCCCCCTCCCTCCCCTTCCCCCCCGGGGCCACGATCGTATCGAGGGGTGTCAAAAATTTGCCCTCCCAGGGGCCGAAACAGGACCCTCTGCCACCTCGCGGGGCGCCCCGTCCAGGTCCAGGGGAGGGGGTATGGAGGAGGGGTCAAGACGCCCTCCCCGCCCGCAAGCCGTCTCGCTCATTCCCACCCGCCCTCCCAACACATGCGTGGCCGCCGCCACCGCCGCCGCCGCTGTCCGCCGCTGCCGCCGCCGCCGCGCTGCCCGCCGCCGCCGCCGCCGCCGCCGCCTCCGCTGCCAAATCGCCGCCGCCGCAGCCGCTGCCGCCGCAGTCGCTGCCGCCACCGCTGCCGCCGCCGCCGCCGCCGCCCGCCGCCGCCGCCGCCGCGCCCCCGCCGCCGCCGCCGCCCCCGCCGCCGCCACCGCCGCAGCCGCCGCAGCCGCTGCCCCCGCCGCGGCCGCCGCAGCCGCCGCCGCCGCCGCCGCCAAGCGTGCCCTGTACAGTTTTTTGACAGGGATGGTGGTGGGAAACCGCACCGGGTTCGCTGCACATGCTCCGAATTTGGAGACAGAGTGTGCTTTGTATTTTTGTTAATTGGGGATGGTGGGGGCAAAGTGTGTTTTGTATGGTTTTGACCAGGGATGGCGGGGTGGAGGGCCCGCATGGTTTTGGGTTGGCTCCCGGTCGCCTGGGGGACGGGGTGTATATCAATACGGAACCCTCCCCGCCCGCAAGCCGTCTCGCTCACTCCCACCCGCCCTCCCAACACATACGTAACACCCGAGTCTGGCCCGAGCCTCAGCATATTCAGCAGTCGCCTTTCGATGGGCAGCTATTGGGGGCACCGCCGCCGCCGCCTCCGCCGCCGCCGCCGCCGGCGCCCCCGCTGCCAAACCGCCGCCGCCGCAGCTGGTGCCGCCGCAGCCACCACCGCCGCCGCCGCCGCCACCGCCGCCGCCGCAGCCGCCGCCGCCCCCGCCGCCGCCGCCGCAACCGCCGCCGCCGCCACCGCCGCCGCCGCCGCAGCGGCCGCAACCGCCCCCGCCGCCGCCACCGCCGCAGCCGCCGCAGCCGCTGCCAACAGTACTCTGTATTGTTGTTTGACAGGGATGGTGGGGGGAGGCCGCATCGGGTTGGCTGCGCATGCTCCGAATTTGGAGGCAGAATGTGTGTTTTGTAGGTTTTTCACCAGGGATGGTGGGGGGGTGTCCTCATGGTTCCTGGTTTGCTACCGGTCGCCTGGGGGAATGGATGTTACTAAAAGGGAACAGTGATAAACCCTTCCCGAAAAGGGGAAGAAGGGGTTGTGGAAGAGGAACGAAAGACATCGTTAGACCACCTGTCGCCCAGAGGGCTGGCGGGACGAGACCTCGCCAGCCCTAGGAGGGTTGCGATGTGCGAAAGTGTCGCCACTTTCGATGGCTGCTGGGGGGACCAGCATAGTGGGTTGCCGCCGCGGATTCAGATTAGACCTCGCCATCTCTGGGGAGGGCTGCGATCTGCGAAACCGTCGCCATTTTCGAGGGCTGCTGGGTGGACCATCGGATTGATGTCCCTCGCAGAGTCCGATTCGACCTCGCCATCCCTGGGGGGGCTGCGATTTGCGAAATTGTCGCCACTTTCGAGGGCTGCTGAAGGTTCCACCAGCGGAGTGCAGCCCCACGCGGATTTGATTTAGACCTCGCCATCCCTGGGGGACCCCTGTGGGACCGCGACCTGCGAAACCGTCGCAACTTTCGAGTGCTGCGGGGGCGCCAAGCGGAGTGACGTCCTGCGCGGACTCAAACTCGACCTCGCCATCCTTGGGGCGCTGCGATCTGGGAGACCGTTGCTATTTCGAGGGCTGTTGGGGGGTCTGGCGGAGTGCGATCTCTGGGGGTGTGCGATCTGCGAAACTAACTCCACTTTCTAGGGCTGCTGGGGGATCCAGCGGAATCAGGCACCACCCAAACTCAGATGAATTTTGACCTCGCCATCTCTGGGGGGCTACGATTCGCGAAATTGTCGCCACGTTCGAAGGCTGATGGGGGGTCCAGCGGAGTGAAGCACCACCCAGATTCAGAGTAGACCTCGCCATCCCTGGGGGGCTGCGATCTGCGAAACCGTCGCCACGTTCGAGGGCTGCTCGGGGGTCCCGCAGTGGGTTGTCGCGGGCCGGTCTCAGACCTGGCGGCGCGCCTTCGAGTGTTTCGTCTCCGGCATTGAAAAGTGCAGGAAAGACGCAGTGTAATTGGTGGGCGAGCTAGGCCTCGCTCGTTCCTTGCAAAGCATTATGCGGAGGAGGAGAAGGAGGAAGGGCCGGGGGAGGAGGATGAGGATGGGAAGGACGTGGTCGAGATAAGGTTGCGGGGCACCGGAGGAAGAGCATTCGGGAAGGGGGACATGATGAGGAGAATGATCAGAAGAATGAAGATGATGAGGGGGAGGATTTGAAGGAGGAGGAGGAGGAGGAGGAGGGAAAAGGGTGAGGAGGAGGAGGAGGGTGAGGTGGAGGAGGAGGAGGAGGAGGAATAGCATGGGCAGCAGGAGGAGGAGGAGGAGGACGCCGTTGAGCGGGAGGGGTAGGATGAGAAAGAGCATGCGGAGGAGGATGAGTTAAGGTGTGTTCTATGATGTTGGCCTTGAGGTTATTGTTCTCTTCCGAAGGGCTCTCGGAACCTCACGATGGTCCCAAGATCGCCGAAGTGAGCCCCAATCAAAGCCGAGGAGGGGCCCCATGCGCCCCCCAAACGGATCCCAAGAGAGGATCGGGAGGGGCCCAACAGGGCCCCAGGGGAGTCTGAAGAGCGAGAAGGCAAACAGTACCAACTGCACCCGCTGCCACGCTGATCGAAATACGTGGCTCCTGCTGAACAAGGGATGTCATGGTTCCTTTATCCGTCTCTCCGCGGTTGGCCAGGGGCAGCCACCGCGACAGATTGCCAGCCACATCCAGTCCACCGGCAGGGAGGAGTGTTGCGACGTTGGGCAGGGAAAAGGGGGAAAATCCGCCCGGACGGAGAAGACGGGGCTTGGCAGAGACAAGCTATTTCATGACGCCCAAAGGGTTGGTGAGATGATTCATTCTCCTCTTCCTCGTCCTTCCTCTAGGGTGCGTGACACCCGTCACATCCTGTTGGAAGTGAAACGATACTGCGAGATTTAGATGTTGCTTAGCTCGACATCCGAGACTTCGTCTTCTATTTGTTCGTCTTGCTTTTTCCTCATGTGAGCCACAGATTCGACCTGGAGGGCTGTACAGATCACTAGCTCCTACATGCTCTCTCCCTACGCCTCCTGTCCAGTTTGGTGGCAAATGCAAGGTTGCACGGTGAGCATTCAGTCTTGTCAGTCAGATCAGGGGCCCGCCTTGGAGAGCGTCTTTCTCATTCATTCCTCCTCTTTCCCCTCGTCGTCCTTGCCCTCCGGTCCCTCCTGTGGGGCCCGGGCGACGCGGGATTGCCAAGAGCAGGTCAACGGCGTGATGAAGAAGGCGGAGAAGAAGGCCAAGCAGCTTGAGGCCCTGGTTGGGCTCGATGTATTCACCACGTCGGTCGGACGAGAGGCCAAGGAATTCGACGAAGAAGTGCAGTGCAAACGCGGTCCAGCATTGGCCGCAGCTCGAGAAGCTGGGGCAGCTGCTCGCCGAGCTCCCATGACAACAAGACGGCATGGTGTATTTTGACAACCGCCGATCTATCTTGTCCAGGGCGTGGCTCTAAAAGGTCCCGACCCGATCCCTGGGGGCAGCTTTTCGCCCTTGGTCAATTCTTGATTGCCCCCCCATGGCCTGATCATGGGTCTCCGAGGCGGAATTCCAGAAACACGTCCGATTGAACCATAGACAAGTCGTCGGAGATTTGGGCAGATCCAGGCTTCACCAATGGGGTCCCAGTGAACGAGGTTGGTGCATCGCACCGCATCTCCGATGCATCGGCAACACGGCTCGATGTTCACCACTCTGATGCCGCCGATGCATCGGCGACGTCTCCGATGTATCGCCGATGCGTTGGCGACGCGGTGCAATTCTTCGATCCCGTCTACACACCGAGCCAAGCTGCACTGACAATGTCAAAGCAACGTGCATCCCAAGTCAAGTTATAATTATGTGTTTTTATTAAGCAAGCGCTGTTTCACCTCAGAGATACTGGCTTCTCGCAAAAATGCTGCAGTGACAGGCAGATCGATGAACCATGAAGAAGAAGCAGCG